AGTCTCCTATTCTTTGAGAGGTTTTCTTGCTTGGGGGGAGAAGATAGGATTACAATTGGTTTTTTGTATGAGGGCACGCCTCTTGTATTTATAATCATAGATAGGGTGGTCCTCACGCCATCATCACATGGCCCCCAAGCTTGTTAGGATTTTATTGAGGGAATGTTAGGTTATTAAGACTACATTCCATTCCTTAGGTGTGACAATGACTTTCTTCGACATGTTGAAGTGACATTATGCCATGTCTTCAAGCTTAGTTACGTTGTAGCCTTCCATATCTACGAATAGGGGTGGCTTGATAAAATTGGAGGCTAAAGCAACCAATATTAAATAAGTCTTTTATTTTTAAAGAATAATTTAAATATTTTTTTTTACTTTTTGAAATGAAAATTTGTTATTACATTTTTTTTTAAGTTTGGCTAACATATTTTGATTGACTGAATAATTAATTCGCTTAACCTTTCTTATATAGTTAATCTTATAGAGAATTTTATTAGTTTTAATTGTGAAAAACTTTTATATGTAAAAAAAAAATGATATAGCATGTCAATAATATTCTGTAAAAAAATACATTCAAAAAAGAATCTATTATTTTTATACAATTCAATATTTTAAGTAGAATGTTTTCTTTTATTTATAAAACTTTTGTAAAAATATTTAAGTCTAAAAACTAATCTAGTCAATCGATAGTGGTGAAACATTTGAAAATTTTTCATATTATATTTTAAAATTAAATAAAAAATAAAAAAATTTTTAACTAAAGATTACTCAGTGTATTGTGTTATCTCGTCATCGATATTTTTATTAATTTTTTTCTCTACAAATTGTTAGTTATTCATGAAATATAAGTTCGGTTGGTTTAAAATCAGATAGAGAAATTAATTTTAATTGTACATTTTAAAAGACAGTGATATGCTTAATTTGAATGGAACTTGTAAATTTTTTTTTCAGTTAAACATAGTTGTTTTAATTTCAAATATTATTGTGTGGTTAATGAGTTAAACTCTTAGGCCCAACTCTATTTAGCATTTCTTAGTTGTTTAGGTCCTTTTAGGACTTATTTTTATGGTCAGAATTTTTTATTTAAATCATACCTTAAGACTTTTGAAATTTGAGGGCCTTCCTTCGTGGGGAGGCCTAAAGCCCTTGCTTCAATTCTTATATTGTTGGGTCGGTTCTGTCTACGAAAGGTCATATTTTGAGATTATTCTGTTTAAAATGACCTCTTGTGATTTTAGTTTTCTTGTGAATATAGAAACTCGATCCAAACACCTAACTTGAGCTGGAAACGATTAAAATTCTCCCGTGATGTAACATGGAAGATCTGGATTCCTATATTAATGATCGTACTTTCACTTAGATCTACCCTTTATATAAATAATGAGAATACATTTGTACAAAGAATAATTTGCACTGATGCCCTTTAAGGTTTAGCAAATAACTCTTGATTAGTTGACAAAATTAATAGATTTTGGTGATATCATTCATATTTCTATAAACATACATACTTTATGTGCTGGTTGAAGTGGGAAAATTTTTTTATCAAAAATAGGAAAATTTCCCTAAATAGATTTTTTTTTTTTATCATTTCTTCGGATAAATAAGGCTTTTTTTTATTATTATTATAAACAAACTATCAATAAGCCTTTGGTTTAATAGTATCCGTACTCATTGAATTGTGAAAGTTTTGTTTTTTGAAATCAAGGATTCAAATTTCCCCTTCTCTCCCAAAAAAAAAATTATTATAAATAAACTATTCATGTAAGTATACTTACATCATTAATGTATATGAAATATGACAATATTCATTGGGGAGATTTTGCACGATAACTTTTTAAAATGACGATAGTTTCAATCACATTAGATTATGTTGAAAGTCCTACAAATATTTTACCTGCTAGTACCTAGTAGGCCTTTTCTATTTAACTTTTTCTACATTCATATGATCTACTAACGTAGATTGATATTGCCCATATAATAAAAGCAGATCTTGGTCCATAGAATCTCAAGAAGGTAAGAGTATTTCAATATGTTCAATGCTTCTTCGGCTAAATACAATATACAAGTGAGATCTACACTATGAACAAGTTATGCGAGAAATTATTATTCAACGAAATATAATTAGGGTTGATCTTAAAATTTTGGACTTTGTGAAATAGGAACTTTGATGTCATTAAATTGTGATTTGATCTCTTTGAATCTTATATTAATTTGAAATTTTGTCGAGTATGGAAGAGTACTTTTTGCAAAAAAAAAAAATATGTCAAAAGTTACCACCAATCAATAATTGTTGAGCGAGAAACCATTCCTTTCACACGTCCATTCCTCTTATAAACATTTTAAAGAGGTACGTATTTAGTACGTTGCTGCGATTGTATGAAAGGTTTGCATGTGATTTAGAATTGATATATACCACTGGTAAGTTAGGTGCACTTTCCATTCTACCAAAACTGTCCATTTCTCTGTACTAACACCAATTATTAAAAAACTCAATCCGTAATCGATATAGAATTTGCGAGTTTGTGTTTAACTTAAGTAGAGTTCAAATAGTGAATATGTGGGCTTGTTAAACCCATCACACAAATCCGATTAAATATGTATAATCCTACTTTGCTAAATACGACTAATATTATGAATCCGACACAACACAAACTTAATTTTACATAATTATAAATAAGTCGGATATAAATTAAACAAATTTTAGGTTAGCTCTACACGACTCACTAATAGTAGTTTTCTGATTTTTATGTGGATTAAAATGATATAATTCAAATATAGCACAATTCAAATGGGCGACATGAACACTGTACAAACTACAATAGTATGAAGTTAAACGCGGCAGGATCAGAAATAACAAGAGTACCAATTCAGTGTCACCCCGCAGTTCCCTATAGCATTACTCTTGTGCAATGGACCCTGCTGTTTTACTTTGTTGCAAATGTTTTACCGCGTTAAGAGCATCTCCGACCCCTCCCACTAGGCTATTTTAGATAGTTTTCCCTTAAAATGTGTTCCAACAGCCTGGCCATTTGGCTATCCGTTTCCCATTGCCCATTTTTCAGTCGATACATCTAGGTAGCCCACTTCTCCCTCGCTGGCGCCAGAATCTCGTCTCTTTCTGCCTCCCTCGCCTCTCCATCGATTGATGTACTCGAAGCCTTCACAGACAGTGAAGCCACAAGCACCCTAAAATCCCTTTGCCGCCTCCTCTTTCTCTCAGACAGTGAAGCCACAAGCCACAAAACCTAATCCCTAATCAATCGATCAAATCCGAAGCCTTCATCCTCTTTCACTCAGACCATCGATCGATGATAATGAGTTTCTTTTGAAATCGAACAAAGCTGCTTCAAATCAATCGAACAAAACTCTTTCTCTCAGAGCTGCTTCAGAGTCGAAGGCACAAGCCACAAGCCTTCATATCTGCTTCAGGTATTAATCGATGATAATGCGTCTGTCCTCTTCTTCGTTTTTCTTCTCTCTCTATACATCCAACCCATAACTCTTTCTCACTCGTTCACCATCCACACCCCTTAGTTCTGAGCACTCAAAATCGAATTTTCACCAAAACTACTGCTATGGGCAGTGATGTGGTGGTGCTAGTTTTATCGAATTTTCACCAAATCGAATTTGCATTTTAGTATTTAGTTTTATCATATGATGTGGTGGTGTTACTGTTATCAATGTTAGAATTATCGGTTGTTTTGATGTCATTGGTCTGATTAGCTATAAAAATGGGGAAATTGAGATTCTCGTTTGTCTTTAAATATACAGGGTCTGTGAATTTGATTTGTGCATCAGTTTGGGCTGCTTGACTGATTTCACATCAGAATTGGGTTTTGTTTGACAGATTTGAATTGGCTTTTGTTGAGAGATCTGAATTAGGTTGGTTTTGTTTGAGAGATCTCATTGTTTAATTGGACTTTGGTTTAAATTGTTTTGTTCCGTTGGGTATGATACTCAAAATTTAAAATTTTGAATTTCGTAACCGTCATAAAAAAGGCAAGGCCGTTATTAATAAAAATAAAAATTTTAAAATTTTGATGATGTGGCGTTGTACGTAAGCATGTGATGTCATCAATATGGTGATGATGTGGTATACTATATAGTATTTTAGATTTTATTATTGAAAGTTAGTTGAAGTAGTTAGTTAAAATAGATAACGTTGTTGGAGTGAATTTGTAAAAGTGGTTAGTTAAAGTAGATAATACAATATTTAAATATATTTTGAATAACTATTTTACATGGCGTTGGTGAAGATGCTCTAACAACTTTGATCTCTATAAATATGATCGAGCTCACCATTCTTCTTGCGGAATCTCTCTCTCTCTCTCTTGTGTTGAGCTCAAACTTCAAAGGCGTACCAGTCAGAACTATCCTCTGTAACTTCACAGTGTATGCTTCACTTTCTCATTCCCTTTGTGTTTAGCTTTTCAATGTTTCTTTGTAGCATATTATCTCTTCCTAGAGGACATTAAAAAGGTAGGTTACAATTCATTGAAGTCGGTTATGACTTAAAAAATTTTTGTTCAATCCAAAAATATTATGATTAATTCTACATGGTAGGGTCGCTTCTATTTTCATGCAATCTTGCCAGGTTCAACCATATACTCACATTTATTTTATAGTAACTTTTGATAAGATAGTGAGAAATAACTTTTGGATACAGTAAACGTCGTGAAAAATTATCCCCCAATGGCCTCCTATATATAGATGCCTTCTGAATGTACAGCTTAAGCAATGTTCACTCATACATATCAAGTGACGAAGTGTTTGATTATTGCAGGAAGTGACAACATGAAGATCAATGTGAAATCATCAACCATGGTGCAGCCTGCAATGTACACACCCTCTGGGTCTCTGACTTGGACCTTCTTGTTCCAAGAATTCACACACCCACCGTGTATTTTTACAAGCCAAATGAAACCCAAAACTTCTTTGAAGCACATCTCCTCAAAGAGGCACTTAGCAATGTCCTTGTGCCCTTTTATCCTGTTGCTGGGATGCTGCAGACAGATGAGAAAGGTAGATTTGAGCTGTACTGTAATGGGGAAGGTGTGTTGTTTGTGTCGCCAGAGCTCCGGCAGCTGATTCCGGCTGTGGATTATTCTGCTGACTGTTCCACTTATCCACTGCTGGTGCTACAGGTACACACAGCTTTATAATCTTTGCAAAATATGAACTAGATAGCATACTCTACTTGCAAGCCAGTCTTTGTCCAAGTCTTTGTTTCTTTGTATTTCCTTAAGGTCTATTTTAGAGAAAAAATATTAGGTGCAGCTGTTACACTACGTCAACAGTGTTACAGGTGGGCCGATTTTCCTTTCAGAAGATTTAAAAACTTAACTTTACTGTAATACTAATCATGAATATCTCCAATCGAACTACATAAACTTTTCCTCGAACAATCTTTCAAATCTCTCTTGGACTAACTTAGATAGGCCAGTTATATTGTGAGTTTTCAATCAGAAAAATGTCCGAAGGATGAGCCAATAGTGAGTTTTGCCTCAAAATGGTGTCCAAAATTAAATGGAATAAAAATTTGGTCATTTTACGAAACTCCTATCATTGCCGAGTCTTGGAAGGTATTATGTCTTCAGCGCTACATATGAAGAAATTATTTTGGGTGAGGTTATTCTCATCCCATAAAACTCCATTCTTACCCTATTAAAATTTTTATTATTAAATTATTAAGTCTACCCTTTCTATATCCAATCCATTTCAACTATGTTCACCATGTACTATACACATCCTTTTAATAACAAATTCATCTTCTATCTTTTCATAATTAGGGTTTCATTCACTATCTTCTCTCATACACCCTACACAAAATAAATTTTTCAATATGGATTGATAGCTTATGTCATAACAACCCCTGTTGGATTAACATGAGGATCAGTAACTTGTGTTGCTATAGTGTGGGCAACAATATTAATTTCTCAAAGAAATTTGTTGAGCATATCGAGGAGAATAATTTATACTTACAATTATAAATAATCAATAAAAAAATTTAGTTCAAAAAAAAAAATACAAGAATTTGCAATGTTTATTTTTTTTTCATTCTTGTTGCAAATGTGTATGTATGTATATATATAAACCTTAAATCAAAAATAATTAAGTTTAACAAAATCAAACATGAAATCACATAACACACATGAAATCAAACAAAAAATTAAATCGAAAAATAATATTAACATGTATTTTTCTTATCAATCTGTATTGAAAAAGTTTTGTCGTGTACGATATATGGAAAAAAATAATGAATGAACCCCTAATTTTGAGAAGATAGAAGATGGACTTGTTAGTAAAGGGTGTAAATAGTATGGAGTGTGCTTAGTTAAAATGTAGTTGATAAAGAAGAGGTGGACTTTTGTGAATGAATATTTGTCGGGTGAGAATAGACTCACCCAATTGTTTTTGTGACTCAAACTCGAGCATAAAAGAGTAACATTACCATGCAAAGTCTCTCTATGTAAAAAAAAATAGTAATACTATGAGAAAATGACAGGGATTTCGGACCATTCAGTTGTGAAACATGTTTTTTACCTCAATTATATGGTACATTAGAATGACATAATTAAGGCTTGTATGGAATATTAAATAAAAGCACCAATTCAATGTCGTCATCATTTTGTATTTTTCAAGCAAAATGACTGCAACTGAACATGATAGTGTTGAAAACATTAATTTTCAAATCTTTCTTGCTGTAATAATTAATCAATATGTTTATGGCGGCACAGGTGACCTATGTCAAGTGTGGGGGAGTGTCTCTTGGTGTGGGGTTACACCATACTCTTGCAGATGGAATCTCAGCTCTCCATTTCATCAATGCATGGTGCGACATGGCACGTGGCATACATCTGAGGATCCCACCTTCTTGGATAGGACTCTACTCCGTGGTCGAGACCCACCCATCCCTGCATTTGATCACACTGAAAACTACTCTCCTTCCTCCTCAACCCTTAGACCACCTCCAAAAACAACTTCCACAGCCATCTTGAGAATCACAGCTGACCAGCTTGCCATTCTGAAAACCAAGTTGAAGGGAGAGAAAGACCAAAAAAGGTACAGCACCTATGAGGCAATGGCTGCTCACCTGTGGCGCTCTGCATGCATGGTCCGTGGACTTCCTGATGATCAAGATACCAAGCTCTATATCACTACCGATGGACGGTCCAGATTAATCCTACCTCCTGGCTATTTTGGCAATGTTCTCTTCACAACCACATCAACTGCTCCATCAGGGGAGATTCAATCGCAACCATTTAGGAGCACCGTAGACAGGAATCACAATGCTCTATCACGAATGTGTGATGATTATCTGAGGTCAGCTCTAGACTACCTCGAGTTGCAGCCTGATCCAACGGCTCTGATTCGAGGGGCCCACACTTTCAATTCCCCAAACCTCAACAGTCAGTTAGATTAGGCTACCTATATATGATGCAGATTTTGGGAAGGGGAGGCCTATATATATGGGGCTCGCCAGTGTCATATTCGAGGGAATGGCTTATATATTACCGAGTCCAATCAAGGATGGGAGTTTGTCAGTGACTATGTCCTTGGAGGCTCATCACATGCATCTCTTCAAAAAAGTTTTCTATGACTTTGAGACACCGTAAGCAATGAAGATTCAATCATCTTGCCCATGTTTCAAATTTTCCTCTCTTATTTGTCTATGTATGTAATGTTATTTAATCTGCAAACTATTGAGAAATAATGTTAGAAATAGTTAAATAATGTTAAAAATAGTTAGTAATGTAAGATAGTTACTAATGTAAGGTATCTTACATTGAAAAAGTTGAAAGGGAGTGTAAGAGTTAAAAAGGAAAAATACGCCAAATTTTATAAATTTAGATGGTGGGAAGATTTGGGAGTCTGACTTGTCTGCGACAAGGGATCAACTGTATGATATGTGGTTAAGTGGAATGGCGTCGTTCACGATATTTTTTTTTTGAAAAATTCTAGACCAAAACGATGCCATTTTCGGTACACCCAACCAACTTCGTTCAAAAAAACCCCCAAAATGAACCAAAATCCTAAACGAAGATTCTGCTCTGCAACCCCAACACCAACATCAGCAACTCCAACACCAACATCATGTATTCTTTATGGGTTCCTCGATTGTTCAGTTCGTGTGTGTGTGTGTGTGTATATACACGTGTATGTATAGTTTAGATATATTATATATATATTGATTGTAGTTCAGTTTGTGTGTTTAACTGTCCCTGATTAGTTCGCTAATATAGCAGAGATGCTTGAAAATGCCTTCAAAAATTTTGCTACACTTTTGTGGTCAGCTTGGGTAGTCCAGCATTTGCATTATCTCGTTCATGTTCTCTATCAATTAATGCTACCTCTAGTACTATTAGAGGCTGAATGAGTTTGGTTTACAAATAACTTTAGAGACATGTATTATAACTAAGTGCACACATTTGGAATGCTCAATTAATTTGAATAAGTTGCTGAAATCATTCCACAAATCGAACAACAGATTAAAATTAAAGCACATATTCAAGATTTTATATAATGTCAGATTTAGTACAGGATTCAAACTATTAAACTATATATCTTTAGCCTACTACATTGTTTGAACCATCTTGGTGCTTTTATCTTTGGTATCAAATATATCTTTACTGTTGAATTTAACACTTAATCCTGGATAAGATCATGGTGTATGTAGTGGTCATGTTTGTTTGTGTTGCTGAATTTTAAAAACTGGGATGGTATGGAACATTGCATCAGATTTTCTGCACTCCTTGCATCAAATTTTCTGCACTGTTTGCATCAAATTTTCTGCACTCTTTGAATTATTTTCTGCACTATTTGCATCAGATATTCTGCACTATTTGCATCAGATTTTTTGCACTCTTTGCATCAGATTTTCTGCACTCTTTGAATGTTTATATGCTTCATGTTTCTGCACTCATTCACATCATGATCTATTTATATGCTTTATGCTCCAAAAATCAAAATGCCAGAAGTTGATTTGCTGTTGTATTTGTTGAAATACCGCAATTGATTTGCAATATTCTGTGTATGTCCAACAGCTTTCATCCATTACCTGATAGCTGGTTCAAGCAATTCTACTTGGTTCAAGAATGACATCTTCAAGCACTGCAACAAGCAATGAAGATTTAAGATATCACAATATGTATTGCCCCATTTGTACCAAAAGAGCGATTATCAAAGTTTTCGAATTTGAAAAAAATCCTGGGAAACTATATTGCAAATATCCAGACGATTCCAGTCACTTTTTTAAGTAGATGACGCCTATTACTCTCCCCTCTTCGAAATTTAGAAATAAAAAGATGGATGTACGACGAATTGAAGACAATGTACAACGAATTGAACTCAATGTAATGACATTGAAGTCAAATATGTTTGTAGTCACGTTACTAGTGGTGATTATTATATTTGTGATTCTAGTGAAGTAGATCTGTAAGAGCAATGATGTAGTGATGAAATTGTGTTGTAAATGAACTTGTGCATTTAATTTGAATGAAATTGTGGATTTTATATATTGTTGTGATTTGGAAGATCATATTCATGAAAAAATATCACATTCATTAAAAAGATCACATTCATTAAAGAAGATCACATTCATTAAAAAAAGATCACATTCATTAAAGAAGATCACATTCATTAAAAAAAGATCACATTCATTAAAAACAGAAGAAGTATCCTTACAACTACAATTAATCTCATTAAAAATAAATAGTTTTCAACAAAATGAGATATTGAGAGTCTTCATTTGCATCCTTACAAGTTGTATCCCCCATTCATGAAAAATAATTTAATATCATTTAAAGAATGCACATGTGTTGAATCAGTCAGAGTACCTTACATTAATGATAAGAGGTTAGACAAAGAAACTTCATAAATATATGAAATAATAAAATTAACAATAAGGTAACATACCATAACACTTTGTACACTATTTGAAGATTTAGAAGACATCGAATGACCATATGTTGATGTACACGACTGACTTAAACCTTGTACCTGAAATACAAAAATACTTACAATTACGTGAATAAAAATATAAAGTGAATTAAAAAAATCTACAATTATATTTATACGATATCATAGACATATGTGATGGTTGGGAAGCTCATTTTTTTCTCTTTTTGCTATCTTATGCCAAGATTTTAGTCGATCCCAACTCTTGTAACCACCTTCTTTTCTTTTTAAACCTTTGACTTGGAGAATATTTGGGTCAACATTTTCATGGATTGGGTCAACATTTTTATGGATTGAATCATCGCCACCATCACCAATTGATGCATACATACTATTCACTTGTTTGAACAATTCCTCAACATCACGTGACACCAATTGATATGCAGGTTGAAGACCAGAGCATCGAGCAGCTAGTTGTACCATTTTAGGACAAAGCTATCTGTAACGTGACGTCATCATTAACTTAGGATTCTCTTCATTTGACATTAAAATGAGGTTGTCCTATAACTCTTTTTTGCATCTCGTCTCCATCTTTTACATATGTATTGCTCGGGAATTTGCTTAATATTCATCATGTCCAAGGCTTTAAGTGCATGACCACATAATATTCCCTCATTTTCAAACTTCCGAGAACTGCAATTGACTATTTCCTCATTAGCCTTAACCACGATCAAATACTTTCTATGTTCATCGTATAATCGAACCACAAATTGATGTCACCCATCTAACACATCGCATGGAGTCGCAATAGTGCACTGAAAGATATCATACTCCACTTGAAACAGGTCAAACATAGTAGGAGTGTACACTTGCCCTGCTTGCACTAACATTGGAGCTCTTTTTAACTTCAATCTAGGTAATTTTTGTCTAGTTTGATATTCTAAGTCTGACTCCTTATATACCTTATCATTCACAACTCTTTCAAAATGTACAAAGAACTGAACAATGTCATGATCTGGCTTTAAGTACTTTCGTAAGGTTGCATTCAAGCTCTCACTCAATTAGGTGCTTCTCATTCCTATAGTGAAAGTCCTCTTCAAATACACGTGCCCCAATTTTTCTCGCAATGCTCAAGTGGCTTTCATCCACATATTATCATGTAAATTATACTCCACAGGCAACGATTCACAAGCCTCAAATAATTCATGCTCTTCCTCATATCCATACACACACTCTTTAAATCGAGCCAAAAATTGTGAACCATCCTTATATATGTTCCTCAAATATTTCAAAAGTATTTTGGCAAAGATGTTAAGTACATAATCCATGATATGTCTCTGGCATGACTATAGAAATAGGTTTAGCCATCGCTTGATTTTGGTTGGTGAAGATGGTAATAGGATATTTTTCAGACATAGTTTGTAGGAATGTATCAAACAACTACTGAAATGATATTGTCGTTTCATTATACAATAATGCAGCTCCAAATAAGACTGTCTCCCTGAAATAATTGAAGCCAGTAAAACAAGCAAAGAGTCGATACTCCTTGTTCGTTTTAAAAGTAGTGTCAAATGGGACAACATCTCCAATGTTGCCATAGTCAATAATCATCACTCGGTCGGCCCAAAAATATTAGTAATATGCTCCTCTGCATCCAATTGCACTCTATAATAGAATGACGAATTTTTCACTGCTTCCGTTTGAAAATACTTCAATAAACTACCCGCCTCACCATACCTCTAGTCTCGTTGCCTCTTTTCACGGAGGTAATTCTTTGGTCTTGATGAGTAAAATCAAGATTTTCCTTTCCTCCAGACTGAGTACTTAAAAGATCATAGGAAGGTTTAAGTGACAATCCACAATCCGCTGCTATGTCAATATTAATGTCTTGTGCTGCGGTAACCTTCCGTTGGAATGATATCATATGCATACATTTAGCAAGGTGTAAAGGATGGTTGTGGTTGTCGTCCCACTTCACCACAAAAAATTTACCAATTTCTATATTAAGAGATATGCACATATGAGCCTGACAATTTGTTCTTGTCTCTGCTCGAGGCTTCCTCATTTGACACTCTCTTTTATTACGACCCATTTGGCCTTGTTTACAACAAACATATTTTCTGTAAATGACAACGCCATCTTTCAAACTTTTATTCTGAAAATCTTTTCTCACGCTAAATCTCACAGACCCTCCATAACTATTGTAAAACGGATAAGCATCTTCTTCCGCATCAAATTGCATACCAATATAAGGTATATTATCAGTCGCATTAATTTCTAAATCATCCATCATAATATCTTACAATAAGAAATTTAATTGAGATGACATTAGATGGAACTTGCAGTCATAGATGGAACTATATGTAATGTACATAAGGTTACATAATTCTTAAGAAAATTAATTATTATTCCATTAACAAGACAACAAGCACAATAAAAATACATGTACAAAGAAATTGGCATGAAGTTTTATGGCTATGGAACACCTATATGAGGGGAAAAGATCTCTTCATTCCATACAACAAC